CAATTACAGGCCTCGCTCTTCTTTTTAAGTGGGAGAACTTGCACAATTGGTGACTGACTAAATACTTATTTTCCCCACTGTACATATTTTCCTCTTCTAGTGTTCAAACGCGGTTCGATTAAGTGTTGAAAGTGTGTTCAGGCATGCATCTTACCTCTTGCTCTGTGTAACCATCTTTGATAGCCATTCAGACCAACATACATAAAGTCATAAATGTAATCACAAAAATAATCGCACAATTAAAAATATCATTATTCACCTAAGAAAAGACTACAAATTGTGTGGTGCTTTTACAAATCAGCAGTAAACGAACCCCAATAAATTTCGTCACATTTATTCTCGGGATCATTTGACCAGTTGGGAATGTGGTATCTGTGTGTGTGACATGTTTTTGCTACATTGTTTGGGCCATTTTCCAGAAAAACACAGCCTTGTGGGGACCAGGCTTTGGCCCCCAATGAGGCCCAATGTTTGATTGCATAGTAAAAGATTGAAAATTGTGAAATAGACATAACAAAAATTAACGGACAATACTAAAATTTGTTAATCTGTTTTATATTAAGATTTTATTTTCACTGTCTTCTACATCTACCACATGGCAGTCTTGTTTATTCTGGGCCTTTTTCCCTCTACATTAGGGCCAGAATGGTAACGAAGAACGCATCGATTTTCTAACTAGCAAGGAAAAGGTCCAGACGAAGAAGAAAACTGGTGTCTTAATTGGCATTCTTGTGGCGCTGTTCATCCTCGCAGTTATCGGAGCTATCCTTATTTGGCTTTTTGTCTGTAAGTACTGACAATTTTTATTCCATTTCATCGTGTGGAGCAGATTCTTGGAGCACAGCACTTTTAGGACGTTTGGGTATATTTACCACAATGACAGTTACCACATGCTAGACAAGCTACAACATCCGAAGATGTTCTAGATATGAATTGAAATTCATGTGTTTGCATTGCTCACTTCACTTCCTGCCAAAACAGCCTTCACATCATAGACTGTAAAAGTGGATCATTTACACTTGCCGTGAAGGCAGAGCTCTTTGATATAAAAGTGTAAGAGTGGCGTGTTTGGACTTTAATTTCCCATTAGCGTTAGCTTGTTTGACAGCTCTGACAGTCTGCTTTTAATAATGCAAAGGAGAAAAATGCCACGAGCCATGACACAGTTTTCTTGTCATTTACACGCAGGCGGTGCCTGATAAAAAGGCCTTTGAGGTCTCAATAAACACATCTTGATTTAAGTGGCTGCTTTTAATTGCTGTGAGAGGCAGGCTTGTCTTGTGTGGCACAGCTGAGGACTGTGCTTCAAGGACTGCTCAAAAGTTTTCTCTTTCAATAGAAGCAAGTGTTGCATGGCGTCTTGTCTAACAGCTGATGCTCATGTCTTTTTCATTCAAGTTAAAGATTCCAACTCAGAATCCGTATTTAGTAAGAAAACCATCCCAGCAGAACCATTGTTCAGTGGACATATGCAGCTGGTAGGAGTGACATATGATCAAAATCTAGAGGACACCAACAGCAAGGAGTTCCAGGATTTGTCAGCGAAGTTGGAGGGTGATGTAAGTATAAAACCTCCACAAAATAATCCTTTTTCTACTTTTTCTCTTTTTTGATGATTTGTATTCTTGTGTCTACTTTGTTACTGCTAACTATTTCCAACAAAGGACACTTTGCTCTGCTCTCTTGCTAAGTAWAAGCTGTGAATGTTGTTCACAAGTGCTTTTTAAATGTCCCTCCCAGTGCACACAAACTGCTGTAGGCACATCTGAGTGGGTGGAAGAATAAAACCCTGCTCAGTCCCTAAGTTATTCCCTCCAAAACACTGGAGGCAGAGGAGATGTTTGTAGCACCACTTAGGAGCATGTTGGTAACAAAAAGCCCTCACTCAAACACTTCCAACGCAGTGTAAAATATCACAGATTAGTGAGACCATAGAGCGGGGAATTGATGACAAAGTTGTGGGAAGACTTGATAATTGGGAGAAAGCTTTTTGATCTTCAAAGTTTGCATTTGCATGCAAGCATAAATAAAAAAATAACATGGACTATTCTTAACACGAGAGGCAGAACATGTGGAGTTTGGCACCAGTTAACAAAACATGGGAAAAAGTCACTAGTTTTGTGTTTTTAAATAATTGCCCCTTGAGTTTACTTTGCACTCTGGAACCTGTTAGTGAAGTTCTAAAACTTTCTCATCTAGCTGGTTTTATTTTTATTTTTACGATTCAGACTTGAATGATCAAAACAATCACTACAGTTTATGAATTATTCATCATTTAAATGTTCGGTTTGCTATAAACATTTTTTGTCATTGTAATGTTGCTTTGTTATTTCTTCTTTATTCTTTTCTTTCCTTTCACAATAGTATTTACCGATCCTATAAAATAGTTTGCAACCCAGTTTTTCTATTGCAGATATATGCACAGAAAAGAATAACTTGTTATTGGTTCCTTAGGAAATTCACCTCATTGAATGGGCACATGGATAGCCACAGAAGAGATAATAAAAAATACTCAAACATAATACACAATAAAAGGTTCTATAACAAGCAAAAAATACAAATTGTACATGTAACCCCCGATAGAAAGATAAACACCTAGAAGGATACATGATGGCATCCAACATATTGTAAAGGTTTCTGTCAACTCGCTCACTGATTGGCTACATGTCACTTCAACAGACAGCGAGCTGTTTGTGCAAACAACATAGATAGTTTTGAGCAGTGGTCCGAGGCGGTCAGAAAGTACATCTGCTGAATATTATGGAACTTTGTTCATGAAAGATTTGTGGCCAGACGCTGGATATCAGAGTAGAATCTCCAAGTGGGATGAAACCCATGTCCAGGAGTTAACTGTTCAGCTTCAGACAAAGTATGTTGATCCCTTTGCCCCACCTGAGACGACACCCTGGTACAGCCTTTAAACAATACAAGATGACCACACACACACCACATGTATCCCTGCACTGTCTGCATCAATTTTTATTTCCTTTCATGACCAGTCAGATCACATGATCGTTCCCAGTTGAACATATTTGGGTTCAACTAAAGTGTCAACTTCAGTTCGGTGCTGATCTGCTGGATCTCGAGGGCCAGTTGCATCAGCTTTGTGTTGATTTGCATCTGAAGATATGGCTGTAAAACTGTACTGCATCAAATCCCCACTTCTGTCCACTCCAAGGGGGTATCGCACTCTAACATGAGCCTATCATTGTGTTGTACTGCCAACTTTCATCTGCTGGATCTGAAATAGTAATCATTGTAATACAGTCACATGACCTTTCAACATGTACAGTTTTATTTCCATCACTCCATCAGGGGTTAACCTTTTGTTGTTGGTGTATGTTTGTGAAGAAAAAAATATATAAATATATATTTTATATGTTCCTGTTCATTAATACCCTTCATGTTTTTTTTTTTACACAGCTGGGGGAATACTACAAGATAGATCCTCTTCTCAGTAAATATT